TAGTGAGAAGGCAATTAACAAAAACAACGCCCAGGTCCTTCTCCCCGAAAGAATCCCTTCCCCAGGCCAGCCAGTTTGTCCTTGCCATTTCAATGTTTAGCTTTTTGAGTGCCTGACATAAATTTGGATTGCAAAGTAACTCTTGTGATTTTAGTAAGGAAAGTCTGACAATGTAAAGACCGATGAAAACATCCAGAAATCCAGGTCCTGGAATAAAACTGCTGCTTGTCTGGGAGCCTGGATTGTGTTTATTTCACTCAGTCTGCTCCTGTCTTGGTGAGCGTGAAAAAATGACTTATAGTTTGACTATCCAAGCAGAAGATAGCACTGTTGTCAGCTGGGAGGAGAAAAACGAGTCAAGAAACCTGGCCAAAGTTACCCTGTAGCGCAGGACCTGATTATAGGATAGGAATCCAAATCTCATTATGACAGGTCTGGCCTAACATGGAAATTTGTGTATGAGCAACTTTCTGTATCAGGTGAGTAGCTTACCGTTCTGAAAAATTTCAAAGGTCTGGTTTCCTCCAGCTTTGGTGCTGAGCAAAATGTGTTCCAGTGGGGTTCTTGTGGATCTTAGTAAAGATATAGGGTGAACTCATAGTCTTGTATGAGCAGGAGAAGCAGACACCCTTCCTTACTTTTCTCCGACAATTTGCCCCTTCAACTCTTCTTGCCCGTTGCCAAAATAGTCTCGCTGTTGAGTAGTGAGTCCCCTCCACTCCACCGAGTCTGGTTTCTTTCTTGTTCTTATTCATTTTAGTCATCTTCCCCAATCTTAGCTGTATTATCTGCTTTCCTTTTGTGGCAAGACAGACTTGCTCTAGGCTTTTCATGGCAGCTGGTTTTAAACGTACATAGCCAGTTCCAAAAATATAGGCAAATAACAGATAAATAACTCTGAATTGTCACCACCAAGTGTTGGGAAGGACTTGAGAAATAACTAATTGGACACTGGGCATTACTTTGTTGCGTTTGTGCAGAAGGCAGCACGCTGTTTATCAGCTAAGGGCCTCTAGTGTAGACTTCAGATATTATTACGAAAGAGCGCATAAGAGGTTTATTATGCAACTGTAACAGCAGTAGAAGGCAAAGCTTTAGATATAAACACTGTGTGAAGATAGGTCTTTCATTAACTCTTGGGATTGAGGAGATTAAAGTTCTGGAGAGCTTCATAAATTATGGCTTTTATTTTATCTTCAGGTACTGTCTTGGAGGCTATGTTTGTCCAGTCTCTGACCTTAATATCAAGAGTATTTTTCATGGAATGTGCTTTTTCCTCCTATCTCTAGTAGCTAACAAAGCCTCAGTAGTCATATATATAATCTGGAACTGTAACTCAGGTTTTCCCAGATCCTGGCTTTCTGTAGTAATTATTTAGCCCCTGCTGATGTCTACCATATTATCTCTTACTTTTGCGTTGAAGGATATTCCTGCTACTCTAACTTTAAATTTTGTGTAAAAGTTGACAGTGCATGCTCGAAGCATTCTGAATCAGAGAGTTCTGGATTAATATTAAAAAGTGATACGAAACAACTTTCTTAGTCTCGTTATATGACAGTTGATGGAAGGTGTGAAGGCCCACCATGGATAGTGGTTGAGGATAGTGGTTGATGCACGTTTTGTTTTGTTTCCACGCTGTTTTGTCTATATGTGCAAGTTGTCAAGGGTATATAAAGTGGCACAGGAAGTGGAAAAAAGGTTGGTGACAGGGAATGGCAAAGAATTTACAGCTTTGGGCAACAAAAGATGAGGGCAGTGTTGAAAACACTCAAGAAGTGGGAGCAGTTCCAGCAGGATAAAGGAGAAGTTTTCCAGGGGGAAACACATTACAATGCACAGGAAGGGCAGTGTTTCAGCAGCCATTACTGAATAACTGCTTAGAGGCACACAAAAAAAGTATTTGCTGCTGTGCCTCCAAAGCTGGACCCTGTGTCTGCTTTACCACATGCTTCTCGTTCTTCTCCTTTCTGGAAAATGAACTCAACTGCTTCTTAGAGTGATTTAGCTTTTTGCAGAACTATTTGGGAATGGGCTAGGTGTTCAGCTTTGATATCAGTTTATAAAGCTGCTGTTTTATGTAGACTACTTTGGAACAAAAAAGTATTACTCTCATTGTTTATCTATGGAGATCTCGGATATGGAAAAGATACAATATCTTTTCTGCAAGAGCTAAATAAAGGTTATAGCGCATAAATTTGCTACCGTAGTGGAGATGTTATACTGTGCATTCCTCACCTGTGCAAACAAAGGCATTTTTTACAGAAGTTAAATGTCTACAAAGAAACAAGTCATATAAAGCATTTTTAATCTTTGTTTCTGGTCTGTGTTATCTAACTATGTAAAGCGTTAGCGTCCTCAGTGGCAATCTCGCACGTGTGTCTGTGGAAAAGAGTTTAAGACTGGCTACCTGAGCCATACTGGTCCTTACCAACTGTTTTGCCCTCTTCTTGTGTGTGAAGTCTTGGGGAAATATGATGATAGAATTAGTCACAATAAAGTGGAGATGCATCTAGCTGTTTGTGTCCTGGAAATAGGCTTAGCAGCCTTCCTTCCTCTGCTCTCTGTGTGTTGATAACCTCCTACCTACAGTTTTATTTAGTCAAGGGAGGGGTTTCATGGATAATACAGTAATGAATTTGACAAGATGTGATAAGCTTGCAGTATGTGTGAAGATCTCCTTAATGTCAGTATTGCTTATTTGAAAATAGCCTTTTTTTGGTCTGTTTTTGAAAAATTAGAGTAGTGTTCTTAAGTTGATTTTTGTTTTGGCTATTGTGCAGCAGATTAAGTGATTGACGTTCGGTAATTAAAGGTCATAATATGCAAAATTGGAAGCAAGTTTTAACCTTATCTTTATGCTTGAGGATTTTTATTCCTTTAGTACCCTGGAATTCTTCATGCATTAGCATGTGTGATCTCCCTGCAGCCTGTTTTCACTAACAAGTGTTGTTTCCTGCTTAATATGTTGCTGGGTTTTGTGGATTCAGACAGAATGGACTTTGTATTCCTTCAGTAGCTCAGCAGCAGTTCAGAGACTGTAGGTAAATTATTCCAGTTTCTGAAAAAACAGCAATTTGATGATGCAGCTTGTGAGGTCATATTTTTTTTCTCCTACCACCCACTCCAATTTTTGCCTAGAATTTAGGCAATCTGGGTTAGTTCCTTGATTTTCTGCAGGAAGAATAAGGAGCTGCTTTTTCTGGTTAGCTCAAACCAAGCTGTAGGAAAGTCTACTTGATCTAATGTGTTGAAATCACTTTTACTTTTTTTCTGGATGCCACACAATTATTTAGCTTGCTTAGTGAACATGCTCTGAGAGCTCATCCTTTTAGCTCTTCATGGATATCCTTGCTGCTTTTTTCTAATGGAGCACAAAACCTTTTCTTGCTGAGTAAAGGGAAGAATGGAACATTCACCTAAGTGTACGTTCCCTAAAAATAATTTTGAAAGGCTTTGTTGCTGGACTGCTTACTTGAGGTTCCCGAGGCACTATGAGAGTCTGAATATTGTACTCCTGATTTTTGAGGGCCTTCTCCACAAGGAAGGACCTGCAGAATTTTCCGCTGCTTTTGTTAATTGCCTGGTACTGCAAGATACATAACTAGAGGATGTTTCATGGGGAATGGCTTGGACCTGCATTAACATTTGAAGTACTGTTAAAGAACAAATGATTGTACATTATGTTCAGAAAGGGAGGTTGATATATTGGAGGTTAATGTAGCTTGAAGCTGCAGGCTGTCTTGTAGGCTTTCTTGTCCCTGGGGTGCACAAACAGTGCTTCATACAAAGATGCTCCGGCTTCCTTAGAAGGAGAATAACAGCGGAGAGGGAGCTGGGCAGATGGCCTCCGAATGATACACCATCAGATGTATTTGCACAAAACTCAATGGTATCCCTTAAAAAAGGCCATTTAAAGTAAATGCTCAGATAACTTAGACCCTAAGAAAAGACTCTGAAATGAAAGGCTCTATTCTACATCAAAAAAGAAAAGAAGAAGATAGTGTTACCTTGTATGTTTGTACATTAACTGCTGATACGGTGGGGTAGGGTTTCAGGTAGTCCGTAGGCTTTATGCATGAAAATGGAGTAGATGAATAGAAGCCATAGAGAAATTAAGATGCGTACTGAGTGTTGTGGGGTAAGAGAGAATTCTTGCTCTTGCATAATTCTTTACTTTTAAAAGTATTGCATGGTATGCTCAGAAAATTAACCTTAAGTTTGTCTCAGTATGTATGCTTAGTGCACAGTCCGTAGAGCGGATTTTGTTATAAACCAGAACATCTCTAGTCATAAGTAATTCTGTCATCAAACTGCTCAGTCATATGGTCCTTGGCTTTCCACCTTTGCGCTTATGAATGCTAGCACTTACTTTTTTGGACCTTAACCTCTATCTGGAGACCATAGACTTTTCATTATGTGTACTTTAATGTCTGTTACTGTATTAATTAAGCACTCCAAAATAGTTAGAGAAATAATAGCGTATAGACCTGCTAGGGCTTAATAGCATTATTCCATCTTCTTTCATCTGATAGTAGAGAGGAGTTAAGTTTAGAGTGTGCATGCCTCTCTGCGCAATCTCACGGTCATGTGGAGCATGTGAAAATTTTGAGTGATTAACGTTATTTTTAAAAGCCAAGTTGCTTTCTTGCATTCCTTGAGAGAGTGGAACTTTCGGAAGTAGGTGAATGGGAGAAAAGAAAGCCCAGTGCCTTCCAAATTTTGTTCTTGCAATGGAAAATGCTTTGGGAAAATGCCATTTTGGGGAATATACTGTTGTCACTTGTAGCACAGCTTGCACTGGTTTTGTTTGCAAAAATAAAGCTATTAAGCCATGTCATTAGTTCATTTCCTTGATTGTTATTAAATTTGAAGCTTACTGCTTCCTAACTCATACACTAAATGTGTACTTTTTACTCTTATCTTATACAGCATTTTTTAATTTTGATGAAGATCTCTTGACAGTTAGATAAAAGAAGATAACTTTGTTTCTTCTCCCTCAGATCCAGACCTTCAACGTTGAGGCACCATGCCAGACTGTGGAAGATTTAACGAATGGGGTTGTGATGGCCCAGGTTCTTCAAAAAATGTAAGAACAGATTTACTTAATTTAAATGCAAACAGATTTATTATCCATAGATTCATTTGAATTTAAGTGTATTTTAAATCAAACTTGGATGGCATTCCATGAGGATGTGACTTTTCCTCAGTTTAGACAGCACTTTAATCTGAAATGTAACTAATAGCTTTTTCTCAAAAGCTTCAGTTAACTACCTTAAATGAAAACCTTAAAAGTGCTTTTTGAGATTAGGTACTTCTTAAGGGCTAATCTTTTTGGTGAGCAAACTGGGTTAAAACTAAGCTTGTATGTTCAGCATACTTAAAACTTTTTTAAATAGTCGGGGCCCGTGCAAGGTAAAGTATTGGCCCCAGGCAGTGCTTAAAACTGCAGTCAATATACCGCATGTTAGAATTGCAGAGTTCTGTGATAAACTGAACGGATCTGTCAATTTAGTGGTATGCAAGGACATTATGTTCTTAACAGTAAGTGAAAGGAAAAATAGCTGTTAAGCTAGGTAATGGTTTTGTTCTTTTTGAACTTGAAAATCAAATAGGATAATATTAATCCAGGGTGCGTTAGCCTAGATGTTTTTGTGTACAGTTTGAATTTGAGAATGAAATCTTTTAAAGATGCTTACACTTATTTTCAACTGTATTATCTGTCCTTGGCAGTGATTGTGTTGGGGTTCTTTGTTTCTTTTTGAGGAGTAGAGATAAGCATTTGAAATGTCGTTGATCTGTATCCAGAATTACCTGTTTTCACAGCACGCCTTCCCCCCTGCCTTTAAAGCTTCCCTTAGGAGCTTTGATCAGCACTTAACAAAGACATATTGTCCAAATGGAGTACGTCAGTTCACCAGGTCCTTCTCTGCCAAGGTAGTCTCCAGCTGTCTGGCCTGTACTAGTACATGGTGTTATTCTTTCCCAGGTACAGGACTTTATCTTTCCCTTTTTTAAACTTCATGAGGTTCTTCCCTGCCTGTTTCTTCAGCCTCTGGAGGTTTCTCTGAATGGCAGTACGGCCATCTGGTGTATCAACCAGTCCTCCCAGTTTTGCATTGTGTGCAGACTTGCTTAGGGTGCACTCTGTCCTATCATCCCGGTCATTAATTAAATGGTAGGCCACTATTAAACAGTAGTGGCCCCAGTGGCGATCCCTGGGGTCAGGCACTAGTGCCAGGCCTCCAGCTGGACTTCATGCCTCTGATCACAACCCTTTGAGCACAGAAGTTCAGCCGGTTTTCAGTTCACCTCACTATTTGCTTATCTAACCTGTACTTCATCATTCATCAGCTTGTCTATAAGAATGTTACAGGAGATGGTGTCAAAAGCCTTGCTAAAGTTGAGGTAAACAACATGCACTGCTCTCTCCTCATCTGCGAAACCAGTCTTCTCATCATAAAAGGCTGTCAGGTTGGTTAAGAATGATTTTTCCCTTCATAAATCCATGCTGACTACTCTCACTCACCTTGTTGTCCTTCATGTGCTTGGAAGTGGTTTCCAGGAGGAATTGCTCCATCACCTTCCCTGGGATGGAGCTGAGGTTGATTGGCCTGCAGTTTTCTGGATCCTTCTTCTTGCCCTTTTTGGAGGTAGGAGTGACAGGTGTTTTCTTCCAGTCTTCAGGAACCTCTGCTGATCACCATAACTTTTTAAAGATTATCAAGAGTGGCCTTGCAATGACATGGGCCATCTTGCTCAGCACTTGTGGGTGCATGCTGTCAGGTCCCAGGGACTTGTGCTCGTCCAGATTGTTTAATGTACCCTTACCTGACCCTTCTCCAGTGAGAGTAAGTCCCCTTGCTCTGGTTTTCGCCCTGCTCTCTGTGGCCTGGGGTTCCTGAAAGCCAGTCTGACCAGTGAAGACCAAGGCAAAGAAAGCATCACGTACCTCAGCCTTTTCCACGTGCTTTGTCACCAGGGCCCCTGCACCATTCAGCAGCAGGGCCGTGTTTTCCCTAGCTGTCTTTTCGATGCCGAGGTACTTGTAGAAGTCTTCCTTGTTGCCCTTCATAGGTCTTGCCAGATTCAACTCCAGATGGGCTTTGAATTTCCTAACCCCATGCCTGTCTGCTCAGACAGTGCCTCTGTATTCCTCCTGGGTTGCCTGTCCCTTTTTCCACCTTCTGTGTGCTTTCCTTTTTATGTCTGAGTTTAGTCAGGAGTTCCTTCTTCAGTCTTGCAGGCCTCCTCTTACGTCTGCTTGATTTGCTGTTCATCAGAATGCATGATTCTTAAGACTGGAAGAGGTGATCTTTGAAAATCAACCCGCTGTCCTGACCCCTCGGCTCTTATCTAGGGCTATATCCTACAGGATTCTTCCAAGCAGAGCCTTGAAGAGACCAGAATCTGCTCTCCTGAAGTCTAGGGTTGTGATCCTGCTTTTTGCCTTCCTCCTTCCTGTCAGGGATCCTGAACTCCACTGAACTCCACTGTCTCCACTGCCACTGCAGCCAGGTGACCCCAACCTTTACATCCCTGACCAGTTCTCCCTTGCCTGGAAGAATCAGGTCCAGCAGAGCATCTTCCCTTTCTGGCTCCATGGTTACTTGTGTTAGGAAGTTGCCACCAGTGCATTCCAGAAACCTCCTGGATTGCTTGTGCCCTGCTGCGTTGTCCCTCGAGCAGATATCAGGGTTATTAAAGTCCCCGATGATGACCAGGGCCTGGGAATGTGAGACTTCTTCCCATTGTCTGCAGAAGGCTTTGTCTACTGCTTCTTCCTGATTAGGCAAAGTGTAAGAGACGCGTACAACAGTATCACCCATGCTGGTCTTGCTGGTGATCCTGACCTAAAGCTCTCAGCTGGCTCATTGTCTGTCCCCAAGGCAGAGCTCCCTGCATTCCAGCTGTTCTCTCGCATAAAGGACAACTCCCCGCCTCGGCCTCCTGGCCTGTCCTTGCCAAAGAGCCTATATCCATCCCTGGCTGCGCTGCAGTCATTTGCGCTGCCCTACCACGTTTCCGTGATCCCACAGATACTGCAACCCTGCAACTGCAAACAGACTTCTAATTCCTCCTCTTTGTTCCCCGTGTCACATACGTTAGTGTACAGGCACTTCGGGGAGACATCCAAGCGTGTTGATTTTCCAGAAAGGGATGAGAGCTTTCCCCATAATGCTGTCCTATATGCACCTCTTTATTTATGAGCATACACTGAGGCGTGATCCCACTTCAGGCCTTATCTGCTGATTACAAGTTCCCCCTGTTCACATCACCCTGAACCCTCTACTTGCCAACCCCGTCCACCACGTCGTCACTTGATGTTCGGTCGCCTCCCTCCCACGTCGTTACTAGTTTAAAGCTCCTCTTACCAGGATGGCCAACTTGTTGGCAAAGGTGCTTTAGCCCCACTTAGCCAGATGACTCTAGTCTCTTCCAGGCAGTCCTGGATCCTCAGAGAGGGTCTCATGGTCTTAGAAACCAAAATCGTGCTGGTGACACTAGATGCGCATTGTTAACTCAAAAGATCTGTTCATTCCTTCTCAGTCCCTTCCCTGTTATTGTCGAGATTGGGGAGACGCCAGCTGGGCCCCCATGCTTCTGACCATCATCCTCAGGTCCATGTAGTTATGCCTGCTCCTCTTCAGGTTTCCCGGGCAGTATCACCGATACCCGTGTAGAAGAGCAGCAGGGGATAATGGTCTGGAAAAGTCTCAGCAGTCTTTCAACAACATCTTGAATCCGAGTCCTAAGCAAGCAGGAAAGCTCCTCAGAAAAAGACAAGAGGTCAACCTCATACCAGCGGTCAGGTCAGCAGATGGGGGCCTTCAGTTGGAGCAGGAGTCTTTCTTCTGGTGGAGGGAAGAGAAAGAAAGAGGAAATTTTAATGTCTTAAAATATTTTAAGAGAACTTTTTAATACTTGAGCAAGTAAGATCGGGAGAGTAGAATCCCAAAGGCTTGAAGTAGAGAACAGTTTTAACTTCCCTCTTGAAACTTCTAAGAAGATCTAAGTGTTGCAGAGCTTCTTTCTGCCCTGGAAGAAAGTAAATCTGAAATGGGGAGTTGAAATAAGTTCACGGGTGTGCCAGGAGGCCTCCGCAGAACAACCGAATCAGTTGATAGGCATTTTGCCCTGGTAAGGTAGTTCAGCGGGCTCTGTACACTAAACAGGTTCGGGTGGTTGTACAGGTGTCCCTGCTCCTTATGAATGAGTTCACAATTGCAGTGTTTAACAAGTAAGTAACAAAATTTAATGAATTGATAAACAGTAACGATAACTATAATAATATTGGTAACAATGTATAATAATCGCAAGGTATTGACTGAAGCTTCTGTATGAAAGTAAACAGAAATGATTATATATTTATACATACACACGCACAAACAGGTTTGAGTTTAAAAGACAATCAACGAAGATGCACGAAAGCGGTAAGCTAGTGGTGGTGGGGGGGGAAGGGTTAAGCAGGCCGCGCGCGGCGTGGGGGGCGCCGCTCCCAGGCCCAGGGACCTGTACCCTTAAGCAGGCCACCCTCCACGGAGGGGGGC